CCGCAGGAAGGACTGCGCTCCACAGGGGCGGCTGCGCTCCCCTCCCTTGCGGCCAAACAAATCCTCTACTGCTACAACTGCTTCTACCACTTTTTTCTTTTTATGACTCGTCCAAAATCCCTCCTTAAGCACCCTCTTTAAGCTTAAGCCCTCCGTTCTTCGTTCTCTGCCAAGCGTCCTGCTTGCAAGACTCACCGAAAGGGGCAGCTGAGACAAGCTTTGGAAGACCTGCGTCCGACTGGCCAGAAGGTGGCTTCTCTAGCCTCAAACCTGGTGTGATGCCCTTTTCGCGCTGGGGCTCGCCCCTCCAACCCCCCTCTGCACTCCTTTATCTGTTTTTTACAACATCCTAACCTCCTTTTAATCCAGGACGTCCACTCTGTACCCCTCCTTCAGCTCCTCTTGGTCCGAAATCGCCTTGCGCGAATTCCGCAGTTTTTTGTGTTTTCGCGCACCCCCCAATCGGCTGGAGTGTCTTCCCACTTGGCCCGAAATCGTCTTGCGCGAATTCCGCAGTTTTTTGTGTTTTCGCGCACCCCCCAATCGGCTGGAGTGTCTTCCCACTTGGCCCGAAATCGCCTTGCGCGAATTCCGCAGTTTTTTGTGTTTTCGCGCACCCCTCAATCGGCTGGAGTGTCCCCGATGGTGCGTGGATCCCCTCCACCCCCTCCATGTCAATGTTTCTAGCCGGATGGCCAAATGCGGCGTGTTCAGCAACATTCACATGGAGGGGAGGCGGCTGATGGAGAGTGTGGGCTCCTGGTGGGGCTATTTACTTCTCATCACTGCAACGCACCCTTCAAATGCCTTGAGGATGCTCGATGCTTGCTCTAAAACATTGTTTTCATACCCATTCTGTCAGTGTCCTGCCAAAACTTGTCTTGGCAGAAATGCGCTGCAGCAACTCTCTGTCCATTTTCCTGCCATAAGTCTGCTCCGTGCAGAACCGAGCTGATTGGTAGGTTGTCCAAAACTTTCGATGAAAGATATTACTCGAGCTAGCATGTCATTTTGGAAGCGGAAACCCTAGAGATGAAAGTCTGGACGCATTTTCATCGGTAAGCCACTTAAAGGCTCTCGGAGTGTAAGCTGCAAGTGCCCACATGTGTCCTTCATGCGGCTCGACTTGATGAAAGCGTCGCGCGTCAAAAGTGATGGGTTTGTCATGGATGTCGTGCCACGCTCCCGTGATAGTTCGAACCTTCGTCCTGACTTGAACCTGCTCAGAAGCGTTTCCGTTTTCATTTTCGACCCAAACTCGACCTCCTGAAAATGAACCTAACGTCAGGGCGTGATTCAAGTGACCTTCTAAGTTCATAAGGTCTCGATGAAGCCCCATCTTCGGATTGCAGAGAATCGCGATGGAAGTCCAAGTCTTGCCCGGAAATCTCGACCTCAAGAAATGATTGACGGCTCTGCAATCATCTTCATCATTCGAAGCTCGCGAGATGCCAGAAATGGGTCCATGAGCGTAAAGTCCTAGAGTGCAATACTTTTGGTACGCTCCCGGCCCTACGGCTCGGGTTCGCCCCTTGTGCTTCCATTTCGATGACCATTCATCCAGCAACCGGACGAGACTAGCCTCGGTAGGTTCTCGATGAACGGCGGCGGTCAGAAGTTCTCTCGCCATTTTCCTATTTGAAACATCCAACATGAAGCATCGACGAAAAAAAATCATTTGCTCCCGCAGAAACGAATTCATTCAAACGAATTCCGCAAGTAAGGGCACCTCATAGAGTTTTCTAGAAGATCCTGGGGCCTCCTGGCTTGTTTACTATCCTGGAGGTTCTCCCAGTTAAAACGTCAAGGTTCAAAATTGAGGGTCTCCAATAAGGCTGTCCTGCGGCCCCGGCTGGCTTTGCTGAGGGCCTCCAATTAGGCTGTCACAATGTGGGTCTTCGGCAACTCGCCTTTTCTCATTGTGGGCAGGCGAACTCAGTCTCCTCGTCCAGCTTGCAGTCGCGCAGCTCCAAAACCAGCCCGAACTGCTGATTCATCATCCAAACCTGCCGAGCCTGAAAGGCTGCCAGGATCTTTCGCCCTCGCAGGCTTGATGGCGCCTCGGTTCGCTTCCCCTCCGCGTTCCAGAAGCGAACGTTGCGCATCGTGGCCTTGAGCTTTACAAATGTGAGGCCTTGAGGCGACGTCTTCAAGCACGACTGGAAGCGGTCTTGCATCTGGGCCGGGCTTAAAGGCTTGCCGAACATGGGCGCGGCGTCCGCCAGCCGCACCGCTGCAGATTCCCATTTCGCAACCGCTTCTGCGAGCTCCTGGGTAGCTTCGAGGCAGACGTTGACCCGGTCCCCTTCGACGTATGCCGAGGGTTCCCACACGACGGCAGCGCGCTGCTTCGCGCAAAGGACGGGGGCGTCGCCCTCCTTGCCCTTGATCGGCAGAAACTTTTGGCGTTGCTTTGCACCTCGCCCAAGACTAGCTCCATCGCAGCTTGATCGGGCCTTCTTTCTTTATGGTGAACAATAAAAAAGCTCGTCCGACCAAGCATGCTCGAGTCTCCCACAAACCTGCGGCGGTCTCACGCTAGGCTTTTTGATGAGGACAGGCAGGGTTTCAGCTGGCGACAGTTCGTTTTGTGCAACCTCGAGCTGGCCTGCGGGTGCGCGGCGTTCGTAGCGCTGATGTGGCTGGCTCTGCAGCCTGACATGGAAAACCCCGATGTGCCGCTTGCTGGAGCTATTCTCGGGGACTGGGTCGATGGGCCGAGCCTTCGCGGAACTGGGGTGGGAAGTCACCTCGCTTGATCTCGACCCGAAAGCCAACCCGACCATCTGCGCCGACATCCGTTCTTGGGAGCCGCTGCTCACATTCGCCCCGGGCCACTTTGACATGATCTGGGCTTCCCCCGTTTGCACCGAATACAGCAGAGTCTTGACTCGCAGGCCCAGGCGCCTCGAGGAGGGTGATTGTGTGGTGCGGCGGACTTTGCAGATCATCCAGGAGCTCAGCCTCCGGCCACAGGGCTCCTGAAGCTCCGCCCCTTCATGGTGGGGCTGCCCTGGCAGGACGTCAGCTATTGCACCTACGGCTACCCTTATCGCAAGCTCACCAGAATATGGGGCAACTTGGACTGGCTGCCGGAACGGCCCGTGTGCGGCGTGGGGGGATTTTGTTGCAAGCAATCCAGAAGCTCGGGCAGGCATCCTGAAGTGGCGCAGAGGGGATCTTTTCGTCGAAGCGGCAAGGTCATCCAGAATTGCCACACGCAGAACCAGCTGTACAGCATCCCTCCCGCTTTGTGCAGCGAGATAGCTTCGGCGGTCAATTCGTGTGTGGTCACGCGGCCCGTGACTTAGGCTTCTTGCCTCTGCTTTCCAGCGCCTCTACCTTTCCCGTAACGCCGGTGCCCTCAAAATCCTGCGCGAGAAATCCGAGCTGTCCCTTGAGATCAGTATCTATTCGGTCATATCGCTTGGGCATCGCCCGGTCGAAGATGCTCTGCATCTCCTCCACATCCACGTCCCTGATGTTCTCCTTGATCTTGGCGTCCGACAAATCGTTCTGACCATAAGCAGTCGTGATCACCCCACTTATTTCCACAATCAGGGGCGCCTGCCCGCTCACGCGGTTCTGGAGCCCTATCTCTTGACCAGGCGCCTCCAAGATGCAGCCGCTGGCTGAGGAGACCTCGAGCTTCGCGAGTCCGGTTGCGTTGTTGGAGTCCAGCTGCACCCTGGCGGTTCCTATCGAGGCCGTGTTCTTGACCACAAGACCAACTGCCGCGGTTGAGGCCGACCTGGTCACGGACAGCACCCTGCTCAAACTCTTCGTCTCGTCGTCTTCCACCTGCAGCAGGGGGTTCAGGGACTGATCGGAGACCTCCAATCCTGTGGCCCCGGTGAAGATGCGCATGTGCGCATTGGTGCTGGGCGAAGGCTGGAGCTGCCCAGTGGCCACGCTGGTGGGGAAGACCGCCTCCGTGCCGGTGGTGATGCCTGTGATCTCCAGCGCGCCCGCTGACCGCGCGCCTGCTGAGCCGCCTGTCAAGGTCAGCAATGGATCACCAGCTCTGGCGGACACCGCGTTGGTCTGCAGGCCTGCGGCAGTCCCCGTAGCATCATCAATGTAGATTTCCGTGTCTACCCTCATTCTCGGTGGGGTGCTGAATGTTGCCAGGGGCGTGCTGTCCTGGGCCACCACGTTGACCGTGCTGCTGCCAGCCCGCAGTATCAACGAGGCGCCGTCTCCTCGAACCTCCCCAATGGTCAGAGGGTCAGGCACGCCGCCGCCGCTGGCCTCGAGCGCGGTTACTCTGGTGTCAATGCTCGAAACATCGGTCGCCAGGGCGTACTTGCCGTCGCTCTCCGACTTGCTGTAGGCGTCGCACAGGAGCTCCGTGACGGTGCCCGACAGGATGTTCTGCCAGCTCAAAGNNGCCTCGGCGCGGCGTTGGCGTCCCTGATGATCGTGAATACTTCGGCGTTGCCCGGCGTGGCATTCTGGACGAGGTATCTTGGGTCCAGCGTCGTGGTGTAGGTGCCCGTCCTCACGTATCTCGTGTCCGCTTCCTGGCGGGTGTAGGCGTTGCATCCCAACTCGATGATCGTGCCCGAGAGAATGGCGCTTATCGACAGCGGCGTGCCCGAAGCAACCGTCATGGCGCGAATCTGAGGCGGCGTCACGTTGCTGCGCACTATGGACACGCCGCCCAGGGAGGCGCTAGTTGCGAAGTATCTGGCATCTCCTTGCGCATGGGTGAGCAGCCCAGCCGTCGTCGCAGAAATGTCCGCGTCTGTTGCGTAGGGCACCAGGGCGTCCGTGATCGCCTGGTTCACCTGGCTCTCCGTTCGGTACTGGGCGATGTTCAACGCATCTACGGCTCCAGACACCACGCTGTTGACCTCTGCCTGGGTGAAAGTTTCGGCTTTTTCATAACTATCGCAGTCAATCTCCAACGTGTCTGCGTTGTTCTGCAGGCTGGCACTGAGGGGTCCCGCAAAGTGCAGGTTTCTGATCACGTTGCTGCCCTTGAGCAGCTCCCAAGTGCCCGTCCAAGCAGGTGCGTTGGACAAAGTCACCGGCACCAAAGCAGACGTGATGGCAGCGTCCGTCTGTGCCGAGGTATAGTACCCGGAAAGGTCCACAGCGCCCACAGCCGCGTCTATGGCGGCCTGGGTTTGCGCCTGCGTCCAATATGGCGCCAGAGCTGCTGCAATAGCGGCATCTCGTTGAGCTGCCGTCTCATAAGGAGCCAGAGCTGCGGCAATGGCGGCGTCTCGCTGCGCAGCAGTCTCGTAAGGGACCAAGGCGGCTGCAATCGCGGCATCGGCTTGGGCAATGCTATAAGCGTCGCAGGCCAAGCTCAACGTAAAGTTGTCGTTCTGCAGGCTGACGCTGAGCGGTGCGTTGAAATGGAGATTGCGCAGGGTGTTGGTTCCCAGGAGCAAGTCCCACGTGATTTCGCCAGGCCAGGGTTGCGCGTTAGCGAGATTGCTGCCGCCGCCTGAATTGAGGACGGCCAATTGCGCCAGGATGGCGTCGATGGCCGACTGCAGGCTCGTTTCCGCAGCAGTAAGGTCTGCAGAAGTCGCAAAGGGGCCCGCAGACTGCAAGGTCAGGATGTCAGCGTCGTGCCCGTCAAGCCTGGCGTCTCTGATAGCCAAAGCGGCGTCCAGCCCTGTTTGCTGCACGTAAGGCAGAAGCGCGGATGCGATGGCTCCGGCGACCTGAGCAGAAGTCTGGTGCCCGGCAGCCTGCAGCGCTGCTAGGGAAGTTTCAGCAGAGTCAAGTCTACCGTCGTGCACGGCAAGCAGCGAGTTAAGCCCCGTGGTGTCAGTGTAAGGCAGAAGTGCAGTAGCGATTGCGCTTGCAACTTGAGCCGCAGTTTGGTACCCGGCAGCCTGCAGCGCGGCGATGGACCCCTCAGCTGCGTCTAGTCTGCCATCTCGCAGAGCCAAAGCGGCGTCCAAAGCGACTTGGGTGACGTAGGTTAGCAGAGCCGTGGTTACCTTTTGATCAACATCCGCAGGCGTGGTCCTTAGAGCAACTGTGGTGTTCAGATCCGTGGTGCTGGGCTTGTCCAGCAGCGCGTTTGCGATCTTGGTGTCAACGTCCAGGCTGGACTGCTTGGCAGCCAGATCCAGGGCAAGCTGGTCGGTGACCGTTCGCAAGGCATAAGTGCTTGCCACGGAGGCCAAAGTTGCGTTGTTTGCGCTGGCGATCGCAGAGTTCATGGCTGCGGTTGTCGAGTAAGCCTGGAGCTTGGTGTCCACGCTTGCAGGAGTGGACTTGCCGTCCACCTCCAGTTGCAGGGCATCCAAAGCGCTTTGGTTGACTTTGCCCGCCAAGCCCGTGGTGAGTCTCGTGTTCAACGCAGTGATGCCGCTGGCGTTGGCAGCTATGAGGCCTTCTGCCGCCGCCAAGTCGGTGGCCAAAGCGTAAGGACTCAGGTCAGGCGACGCGGGCAAGCCACCTACCTGCGTCTGCAACGCTGCGATAGCCGCCGCGTTGTTTGCAACTCCTGTGGTGTTGGCTGAGATGGAGGCGGTGTTGGCGGCCGTGTCAGTCAACGGAGTGTAAGCTTGCAAAACCGTAGCAAGCTGCCCAGCAGTAATGCCGCTGATCTCCGTGGTTGCACCGTCGTTCAAAATGTTCCCGGTTATGCTGCTTTCGAACAAACTCATGTTATCAGTTTTCCTACCAGCGAGCGGCGTTAATCGAGGACCGACGCCCCCGAGCCGCTGAGAGTGACCACCTGATAGCTGAGCATGTGCACATAGCACTGCTGCACCTTATTCGCTTGAAGCCCCTTGAAGGTGAAGCGAGCTAGGTCGCCCGCCCTGGTGCTGATGCCGCTCAGGGGCATGCCCGGCACCCTTTCCACCGGATACGCCGCTATGAAGGAGCTGCCCTGGTAGTCGCCCTTCGTCAGGCGCATGTTTCGGAATGTTGAGTCGTACGTGTGCGCCAGAATTTGAAGGAAGTGGTGGTGCTCAGCGAAGTCCTTGGCGGGATAGTGTGGGTATTGGAGCGGACCAAGCTGCATCTGCGACTCCAGGAAGGAGGTGCCGTTGGCCTGAGTGCCTGGATGCTCCAGGTCCGTGATGCCCTCCTGCGCGCCGTGTGTCCTGAAGGTCACGAAGGCGCCCAGCAACTTGGAGCAGGCGCGAGCGACGGTGACGTTGAACTCCGTGGAACCGGCAGGCACGCTTGTCACCTGCGTGTGGACCGTGGGATACGAGAACACGAGGCTGCGCCCGCTCAGCAGGACCCGGTTGAAGCTTTCCACCAGAGCGCTGTCCAAGGTGACCTGCGAGGCCAGGATTCTGAGGTTTTGGATGCTGTAGTCGACGGAGCTGTTCTGACCTCCACGGATAGCGTCTGCGGCATCAGCAAACTCAATCTCGAGCACAAGGTTCAATTGAGGTGGCAACATTTTGCCACACCCCAGCAATCCGACCAGGGTGGGCGCCATGAGCACTTCCTGGAAGTGACTCGTGGGCAGGGCAAAGGGGAACTCGCCCACGTCGTTGATTTCAAAGCCCTCGTTGGCCTGGTTGATCCACCACTCGCGTGGCTTCAGCAGCGTGTACAGGTGCACCGTTCTGCCGTAGTTGTCTATGTCGTCCGTGCGCTGCCCGTTGGCAAACAGCTGGATTCTTTTGATCAGGCACGCCGGGTGGCCCATCACTGGGTGGAAGTCGTTGGTGGCGTCGTTGTTGACGAAGCGGAATGCCGCCTTGATGCTCTCAGGGTCAATAAAATCTGAGCCAGAAGTCAGGGGCGCCCGAACCACTCGCGAGGTCGTGGGCGTGATGGTGCTGAGGGAGCTTGGAAAATATTGCACATCTTTGCGAGATATCACGTAGGATGCGTTTGAAGTACGCATCTTATAGTCCAAAGATTGCATGAGCTCATCGTTGACGGCGTTCGTGACAACCTCCATGTTTCCGATTCGTTCGCGCTTTCCCAATAGCGCGTCGCGTCGTTCGTCGGTCGTCCAAGCAGATCACGCCGCCTCGGGCTCCAGTGCCCGCCTGCGAAGATCGTTGAAGGAGGGCTCCGGTATCCCGCTCTGCCTTTGCGGTCTGGGTCTGCTTTCGCCGCTGCTGCTTGAGGACGTTGCTGGCAATGATCCGCCTCCCAGGCCGAAGGGGCGTGGGTCTGGATTGCACCTGTGGCCTGGGCTGGCTTTGCTGCTGCGCCATTGGGGCGTCGTCCGAGTCGGCGTCCATTCTGGACACCATGGGTTGCTGGACTCGGGGCGCTCGCAGACTGATCTGCCGCTGAGGCGTGCCTTGCTGCATGTTGTTCAGGGTTCGGATGTCTCGCGCTTGATCCTCCGATGAAACGGCGGCGTCGCCTCCGTTGCCGCCACCCATAAAGTATCTGGCCCCTTCGTATGCTCCGCCCATAACTCCCAAGCCCAGACCCAGCGTTGCGGCGCCAAAGCCCACTGCTCCGCCCGCTACCCTGCCGACGTTGCGTGCCGCGGGGAATGCAGAGGCGCCAGCCCTGGCTCCTTCCAAAGCTCCGCCGGTCAAAGCTGCTATCCTGCTTCCGCTCGGCGGCGCCGTCTGCGTGCCGGCTTCGGATCTGCCCGCGCCGCTTGCCAGGGCCCCTCCAGCTCCGGCTATGCCGCCCAAAGCTTCCAACGCCCCTGCTCCTGCTGCGGCTCCTGCCGCAGCTTCGCCTGCTGCGCCGGCTTCGGCAATCAGAGGCGTGATCTCCGCGGTTTCTGCTGCGGCTTGCTCTGCTGCGAACTGCTCTAGGTCCTGCGCGGCCGCGCGCTCTACCTCCTGAGCTCTCTGTCCTGCTTGCTCTATGACGCGTTGCGCGTCTGCTGGCTGCCCAAGCGCTGCGGCGAAGGCCGCGTGGGGAAAGCTCGCCTTTCCAACGCGTTGGCGGCTCGAGTCGCGGTCCTGAAGCTGAAGTCCTGCATGGCGCGGTTCAAGCCTGCGGTGCCTGCCGCTGCTAGGCCTGTGGCGCCCGCCGCGGCCGCTTCTCCGATTCGCCCGCTGAAGCTGCTGCTTGGTTGGCCCGGGTCCGGCGGCCTCGGCGGATCGAAGCCATCCCTTCGATAGGCCTCGTCTTCTGTGTCCGTGTCAGGGCCCGGCCCTGTAACAAGCTTGGGCGGCGCATCTGCGGGAAGGGCCTGCCCTGGTAGCCTTCGTCGGCAGACTGGAAGTCGTCCTCAAGCTGCGCGCCCAGGTGAGTGTGGGGTCTGGGGTTGTCGGCAAGCGGCTCTGTGGAGTTCGGGAACTCGTCCAGAAAGAAGTGGCTGGATCGGTAGATGGTCGCGTTGCGGTTGGGCAAAGGAAAGTTCAAAGGCTCCCCTTCTTCGATGTACTGCAGGACCAAGCGCCACTAGTGCTCAAGTT